GCGGGGGGACCCGGCCACTGGAAGCAGGGCTGGACGGGGTGGACTGGGAAGAGAAAGGGGGGGAAGAGGGACCCTATACCTCCCTTCTATAGCTGTCCGCAAGGCCAGATTCTTCTCTGGCACCCACCCCACTCCCTGACTCTGCAGCCCATTCCCCTGCCCCAGGTCACCACTCAAACCCTCTGCATGGTGGGGGGGGGGCGGGGGGACCCGGCCACTGGAAGCAGGGCTGGACGGGGTGGACTGGGAAGAGAAAGGGGGGGAAGAGGGACCCTATACCTCCCTTCTATAGCTGTCCGCAAGGCCAGATTCTTCTCTGGCACCCACCCCACTCCCTGACTCTGCAGCCCATTCCCCTGCCCCAGGTCACCACTCAAACCCTCTGCATCCCCTTCCCCAAGGTCACAGCTCCCTCCCAGACCCTGCACCACCTTCTAGAGCACCTTCCCCAGGCCAGAATCCTCTCCTCCACATATACCTCCTTCTGGACTTGGCACCCCAAGCCTCTGCCACAGATCATAACCCCATCCTTCACCCAAACTCCATCTCAGACTCCACACCCCCCAAGCTCCTTTCTGCACCCAACCTCTGTCCCAAACCTCACACCCCATTGGTAGAAATGTGGCCCTTGACCACTCACCAAAATCTTAGAGTGGCTCTCCATTAAAAATTATGGCCCACTCCAATCTAAGGGGTAGGAACAGGTGCAAATAATAGCACTGCTCTTCAGAGACTCATGAAAACCAATGAAAAGATCAATATTATAGTCTCAAATGAAACATCAGCCCTTTGTTCCAAGTTTACTGCTATAATGCAGTAATTCCCAAAAATTCTTATTACAACTAATATTTCACTATCTTGTTGGTCTTTTAAGAGGTCTCACATATTAGAGCTATGACAATTGCGCTATGCCTCTACCTTCAATTAAAAGAAGAGTGAAAGATAAAAGATTGAGTCAGAAATAAGGTAAGCATGAGGTGTCACTGGATGTGAGGTAAACTGCCATGATGTCACAAGAAATGACAATGTGCCTGATAGGATGGGTGTGATCTTGTGACCTAAATCCTTTCCTTTCTGGGATGAGGTTTAACCCTTATGGCACCTGACTCCCAGACAAAATGCCCACCATATCTAAGGAGCAAAAACAGTGGGCTTTGATATATGGCTCAGAACCTTAAAACAAGAATAAGTAGTACGATACCTAGAAACAATGAAGATCTCCATCTAAAAGCCTGGGGGATATATAAAAGGAGAGAGAGAGATTACAAACATGTGCAACGTGTACAATTCAGTTTATAATTATTGATGCCATAATTCAGTCCGAAACTTAACAAATCAGCTTTCAGACATCAGGGTGAACTCCTGCCAATGAATATCCCATGCCACCCATTACTTCCACAAAGTTGCATAAAAGGTGTAAATAAAGGCAAGAGTTTAGTTTTTGTATTTAATACCTCACCTAGCAATGACTAATCTACATTTGAACTTGTCTTGGAACAATCCCAGTACACTATTATTTTTTCATATACGTAATATGTGCCACTCAATGTCTGGATGTTTCTAATAAATTGTAACCATCACAAAAAATTTTAAAAGAATAAAAACTTCACAAACTCTTCTCATTAAGTAATTTTTTAGAAAATTTCATTATGGGACAGATACTTCACTAGAGCTAAGGGCTGACCTCTCTCATCCACCAAAATGGTGCTTTTAAATTAATTTCCAACCTACACATAAGGGAATGGAATGGATTTAAGCAGAATTGCATGGGCTTACATTAAGGCAGAATTTGTTCCAAGATATTTTCAAGAGGCACACACCACTTTGAGAGATCATTGTTGGTTGAGGCAAGGAGGAACCCCATTCCCATTCATATGTCAAAGGTTGACAGAAGTTAAGCTTCCATGTATTGTATTATTTAAATGTGTGGGATTCAAAACAGTTTCCTGTCTAGTTTTTTGTAAATATTCCAGACCTTCTCTACACTTAAATATTTACATAAGAATGGCAATACTGGCTCAGACCAAAGGTCCAACTAGCCAGTATCCTGTCTTCCATCAGTGGCCAATGCCAGATGCCCCAGAGGGAGTAAACAAAGACAGGTAATCATCAAGTGATCCCTCCCCTCTCACCCATTTCCAGGCTCTGACAAACAGAGGCTAGGGAAACCATTCCTACCATCCTGGCTAAGATTTAATGGACCTAACCTCCATGAATGTATCTATTTGGCATACCTATTCATATTCCTATCACATCTGAAACTTGGTGTATGTCCACAAACCAAAATACTCTCAGTAATCCACAGGTAACCACACAACCATTTGAATTAGGTATTCCTCAAGTAAGATGACAGCAGATTTGTTCTGCAACGTGTCTGTGTACAGATACCATCTGCTCAGTACAAAATTATCATTCAGGACAATAGTACTTATATGATTGCCATCTACTCTCCAGCTCCCTACATCTGTTTAAGCCATCCCACCTCTTCACATAAAAAGGTGAAAAGATAAATGGTCTACTTATAACCTTTATTTTTGTAAATCTGTTACTTTGTCTTGATGTTGTAGCTAGTCTTCACTGACACTTCTGTTTGTATAATAAAGCAGATTCTGAAAAAAAAACTGTCTTTGTGTACCACTACATTAGTCAGCCTGCTCTTTCATATCAACACAACAAATAGTTCCTCCTTAAACTCCCTTTCTATAGCTAATGCAAATAATAAATCAACTATGAGAAAAAATAAATGCATACAAGCATATATATATTTACATGATTCCTGCACAATTCCCTACCATTGATATAAAACTGTGTGCTCAGACCATCTCTAATTTGGGCTGCAAGCCAACTGCAAGCTGTGCAAAAATGAGTAACAGCCTTCAGTGCAATAACCAGGCTGCTCATAAGGTGTTTCAGGTCCTCTTCTCACTGCATTGTATATTGAACGCCTCTTCTTTGCTTCCTGTTTCAGCCAATCATGTGCTTTCCCTGGCCACCCCATACAAATGTCCTAGAATTTGTTACAATGATAAACATGTATCTCCACTGAGTAGTTTTCCTTTCTATTAATCCATGTACTCTTGGGATCACTGTAGAGGTGATGGGAACATAGAACAGGCATATATGTTCCATCAATAACCCTGCACAGTTCAGGCACCTCAATTAATTAAATCCTCAGCAATCTCTGTCACAGTGACCAGGTTGATAATACACCTGTGCAACAGATCATGTCTTGTCATGCCCAACCCAACCACACCCAGTGTGAACATCTTAAAACCCAAACTGTTGCACATGTCTATCAGGTATCTATGCAAGGCAGCCTACTTCCACAGGATGACTGCCACTTTGATTTCCGCAGTGGTCCTTGTGATTTGACACACCAACAATGGGCTTACCTCATGTTTAGAGAAGTTTTTATACAAGTCTTTCATATGTGAACTCATCAAACAAAAGTGTATCTGAAAGGAACATTTTTTTCTTTTTCATAGGCATGGTCTGTTCAATATTCCCTGTCACTACAAATCAGACTCTCATGCTCCAGCTGTGCATCCAAAATAACTGATTAAAGGTATCAGAGGAAAGTGGTAGTGGGCCAATATACTATAACATTTTTATTCTTGCCTGCCCGGCTTATACACATTGTATAAGGGAACTAATTTATCACAGGTAGGTAGCTAGGCTAACATAGTTCTTTAACATAGTTATTTTATGTTTTTCTTATTCATGCAAGCAAGAATAAATCGTGTTTAATACACAATCTACAAGAGTTATAATACAGTTCTCTTAAGATACACTTTTGCCTTGTGATTTCACCAGTTAACAAGTTCACTGGTATCTCTGAGTCTGGTCTGATTGAAAAACAGAGGACTTTATTTTCCATTATTGTCAATCTACCACCTTTTACCATCCTTCCCCTGCTCCTTTTTCACATTTTCGATATTCCTTCTTCCTAGTTCATACCTTACTCTTGTATAACCATTTCTGTATATCCTTAGCAAAAATATAAAAGTGAGTCCTTTAGGCAAATTTGCTTTTAATTCTCTAGTGGACAACAGCTGCCATAACTGACTTGTGTCCTGATTCTACAGTGTCTTGGAAACTTTTATACTCAATTTACACGTGGGTGACCACTACCATTTTAACGTGCAATTTGTTTTATAGTCACTCTACAGTCTACAGAGATGCAAATGACTACATCAGCTGCAGAAAATTCACACTATACTAGTCTCACCACTGCTCTATTTATCAAACTATGCCCATCTCAACCTATAGCCACCAGAAAACCTCCATAATCCCATCAAAATGCACGTAGGAACAACTATACAAACACAAACACTAGCAACATCAATAGAAAGCTATTTATTAAAAAGTAGCGAGGAAAAATTGTGGAAAAACCATAGCAAGGAAAATAAAGTGGCAATAAAGAGACCATCACTGAGCTACCATGGAATCAGAAACGGTCATCAGTGATAGATAAGCAGTGAGGGCCAAGCCCCGTTTATTCACTAATTCTAACAAAGATAAGTAAGAGGGATGGATGTGTGGTGTATCCAGATGTCTGCCCTGAGAAACAACCAGGGTGGTTTGCATTCTCACAACAGCCAAACAACAACATGTTTTTATTCTGGGCATAGGTGCAGGAACTCTGAGGAGGGGAAGGTGCTGGCCCATCCCTTGGTTTGATGTGGTTTCTCTTCTATAAGGGATAGCAATTTAATTCCGTAACTCTCAGCAGCTCTATTATAAACATTGTTCCAGCCGCCTTGTATCTGGTCGTCTCCCCCTCCGGTGCCCTTCTCCTCCCAGTTGCCATCACCCTCCCCCCCCCCACACACACACACCTCTCGGACCCACCCCTTCTCCTCAGCCCCCCTCACTTCCCTGCAGCCCTTTCCCTCCCGCACGCACCTCTAGTGGGCGTGGCTGAGCGTGGCGGGAGGGGAAGAGGTCTCGCAAGAGGGGGGCAGTGGGCGTGGCTTCCTAGGAGTGGGCGTGGTTCGCTCGGGCGGGGGCGGGGCTAGCTGCCGAGAAGGAGCGGTATAAATTGCGGCGGCGGCGGGCAGCTCCTGCTCTGCTGGTTCGGGACCCGGCTGGGGATGGCGAGCGCTCGGGACTACGCTGGCTCCCTGGTGCGGTGAGTGAGCGAGCGCGTGTCCCTGGGGTGCGCCGGCCCGAGCCTCCCCCTGCCCATGGTGCAAGGGGGCAGCCCGTGGAGCCGCCGAGGAGTCTGCTTCCTAACCCCTCCCGCCCCAATCCCGGGGGGTCCCGCAGCCCGGCTTGTCTCTCACTCGAAGCCTGTCGGTAACTCTCCCCATGTTGCCAGGTGTCCTGGAAGGAAACCTCACTACTCCCCTCCCCCCCGCGCGAAATAAAAAGCTGCAGGATTAGCTGGTAGCGATGCTTTTTCTGCTGAAAACCCGTGCAACCGAGCTAAACTGGCATCTTGCGCCCTCTGAACCGGCAGGGAGAAGAGCTGGAACGGGTCAGCTGTTTCCTTGTGAAAAGCAGCCGCAACATAGTTGCGCGTTTCTTGCACTGAAAAAGGAAACGTTGTTTAGCGTCTCCTTTCAGCCTCTCTTCTTTAAGAACAAAGATTTGGGTCAAGTGTCTCAACAGTGCTCAAACAGCATGAGTACAGTTAGCTCCAGGGCTTCTGCAGTAACTGTAGGTACTGCTAACAGATCCCAATGTGTGAGCCTCTAGACTGAAAGAAAACAGTTGTTTGGCTCCTAACTGTCATTGTAAATCTACAAGAAGATAATCTTAAATATTAAGATACCCAAAATCTTGATTTGGTCTTGTGTTCTATGGCATCTGAAAGTTTTCTATGGCAAAACTGAGAGTTTTGTTATAATTTTGACATTCTGGAATTTGATTCTGTACTTGGTTCCCAACACTTGCTTCTTAAGCAGATTTCAAAGATAGTAGCAAATCAAAAGTTATTTCACCCCAATGAAATATAGGGGAGTATAATCTAGCAAATAATACATATTAGTACTATAATCTAGCCTATAGTATATGCTAAATTGGATGTCATGCTGAGACAGTTTAAGACTTATGGGTTATTAGCCTCCTTAGATTTTAGGTATAACTTAAGACGGGGGGAGGGGAGGAGAGGTCTGTTCATGTTGTAGCCATTTAATTGTCTAAAAAGGCAGGAGTATTCTTAAACTTTTTTAGTTCCTGCTTTCCTTTTGTACATGATAATGAATATAAACTAGATAATTCACAGAATTTTAGAGCGAATTACTGAAGTAATATTCTATAGCACATAGCCTTCCTCAAACACTAACTGCATCACTTCTAGGTGACTCACTCCCCTGACGCTAAATTAAGTCCTGTTAGTCAATGTATTCTAATCTAAAGGTCACAAACACTCCATAGATTGGAGTAAAAAATTGCACAAAACCAGAGTATGACAGAAGGCTGTTGCACCATATCACGTAGACAGTCATGCTTGCAGACAATGTACAGGGTGTCTTAAACCTTGCAGCCAACAGTGTGCACAGGGATTGCTGTAGGGTACCGCCCACTGAAAAGTAGCTGAATTCAGGGATCCTAAATGTCTCCCTTATAAAAACATATGTTTGGAATTCTGTGAAGAATTTTGGCTTTTAATGTGATCCTATGGCTTTGTGTTCGATCCAAAATGAGGCAATGCATTTTGATACTACAGGTTGGCCCTTCCTTGTCCAGCACCCTGGGGACCTGACCTGTAGTATCAAAATGCATTGCCTCATTTTGGATCAAACACAAATGGATCGAACAGGCTTGGGCTCTGGCCTGCTGGAGCTCCCTAGGATGGCGCTCCCCCCTCCTGCTCTGGTCTCCCCAGGGATGGGGTTTGCACTGCCAGGCACCAGGGCTCTCTGCTCCAACAACATCTGTGGTCCTACTGGACCACAGGTGTTGCTAACCAGAGAATTTCAGATTTCAGAGGTTCAACCTGTACTGGAGGATTTGGGTGCCAAAATTGGGCAATTAGTAGCACAATCATGTAAGCTCAGTTCTTGAACTGTATAATCTGAACCCTAGCTCTTACTTGGCTTTGATGCCTAACCTAAAGCCCACATGGTGCTTCCTTGTTCTGTCAGATGCTTAGTGAGCCATAATATATGCCTTGACCTTGTGCTTTTTCTTATGCTTTGTCTTCTGCCTGAACAAATTCCCTTCCTGGCAAAATAAGAGTTTGCAAGATCTAATGCAGCTTAGTATTTAGAAAGTAAACCATGACACTTGGTATCTTCAAATCTCAACTGTTCTACTAGTCTTGTAGAGTCCTTCTGATTGAAACTAGCACAGATACTAGCAAAATAACTTTATACAAAAGGGATATATGATGTCCTGTTGTCTGAAGTTGCAGACAGCTCCCTACTTGAGGGGCCTTAAGCTTGTTAACTAGTACGAAAATTCTTATTTGTGTGGTCCAAATCTAGTCCATATTGCTACCATTCAAAAGGTAAAAACTGATCACTTGTAGACTGTGCAACACATTCATCATAAGGCATAAAATAGTAAGAGCAAATAACTAAATCACAATCTTTACTGTATTTTTTTGGTAGAAATCTGTAAGGGAGAAGAAAAATCTCCATTCAAGTACACTAGTATGACGGGGGAAAGTTATTTTCACTATACCTGATCGTTACCAGTGATGCTTAGTACCTCATGAGCTGAATTTTTTTTTCCCCATTTGAACAGCAATCCGGAAAGCAATGCTTCAACTACACATGGAATAAATAATAATCAAAAGATACTTCATTTCTTGAATGAAGTGAATCTCAAACTAAGACTATGTTGCTGATTTTGAAAAACAAAGCCAATACATAGTGGAGGAAATATCTGGCCAAAATTAAAATGATCAGGAACTAGAACCAAAATATAACTTGATAGAAAGATTGCTAGTTTTGATTTATAGACTTAGTCCATGCATCCTCAGCTGAATTAAATGGGCTGAAAAACAATCTGATCATATGTACTACACCAAATCTAACTTGAGCCAAATAATTACATCAAACTGAACACTAGTATTTTAAATACTACAGTATATAATTCCAATAGCTAAGCTACCTGAAGTAGCAACTTGCTGCATAACTGGCAGACTTTCAAATCTTGACAAAGCAAATACAGCAGAGAAGTAATGGCTTCAATATTAAAATTGATACTAAGTACTAGCTAGCTTGCCTCTTGTAATGAGCATCTAAACTTCCAGTGCTTTGGTGTTGAAATAATGGAAGCTACCCAGGCAAATCCCTGCTTCATAGCAGGTGGATATGGAAGCACTGATGGGACCCACAGCCCTGTACGTATTATGTACTAAAATAAATCTGGCCTGCCTTAAAGCCCTTCTAGATTTCATACAGCTCTGGGGAGGCAGCCAATGAGACTGCTTCTTACAGATAAGGAAAATAATGGTGGGAAAGTAAACTAATTTAGAAAGAGAGCTGCTCTAAGCAATATCCAATTAAGTCATTGTAAACAGGACTGACACTGCTTGATCTCGGTGTTGACCTGGCCAAGCTGGTCCCAGGCTTGTATCCAGTTCTAAAACTGAAAACAGTTTTCTTGCCAAGTAAAAAAACTAAATACTCTGCAATTTTACTGAAACAACTTTGATCCCTGAACCTAAAGAAATTTGTCTGGCCTCAACTGACCTGTAAACTACATATGAGCAGTATCTTGGGAATGCATACATCACAACGATTAATCTCAATGTTTTAGTTTAACTGTTTTTTAGGTCTCTGGTATCCGTGGGAGCATCTGTGGGATCAGTGACAAGACAGACCCTGTTCCCACCTCTTGTACCTGCAGCCCGACCCTTCCGTGTATCAAATCATGACCGCAGCAACCGAAAAGGAATTGTTGCAAGCAGCCTGCAGGAACTCATTAGCAAGGTATATCAAACATTTGGTTGAGATTTAAAGCTACTTGTCAATAAGAACATAATATGTAGGTCTTCTGGGCTCAATTCTGCATAAGAGCAAAACTCATTTTAGCCTGGGCAAATCAAATGGCTGAAATGTAGGCTGTTGTGTTAGAATTCAATACCTCAAACCTGGCCTATATCTTAAGCCTGGTCTACACTACGTGGGCGCGTCAAAGTAAGAGCAGCAGCTCAAGCTACGTAGAGTACATTAACTCCAGCCATGTATCAAGATTCACACAGCAGAAGGCAGATAGGACCAAATGCTCCTATTGGCTTCCCTTATTCGTGAGGTGCAGGAGTACCAGGTGTCAATCATGGCACCCATTGAGTTTGATTAGTGAGTATATACTACATCCACTAAACTGAACTCCAGAAGATGGACTGTAGTAGTGTCAATCTTCTGTGTGGTGTGGATGTACCCTTACATTCCAATACATCTCTTTAGAAACCCTGGTAGCGAAGATATTTAGTGTCAAATTTAGAAGGAAACTTCATTCAAACATAGCATAGCCTTTCTGCAAAGAGAGATTTGAAATACTGTTTCAAAACTAATATGATGAAGTCTTGCTCTAAAACTCCACTAATTGGCTTGTGGAGCTATACTTCATGTCCTATAGCTGGATTTCTCCTTAAAACTAACACTTTCCTTTTAAATACAGTATCAAAGCCTGCTTACATTACTGAGACACAGATGCTGTGAGTATAAAACTTCCAGAATAACTTACTTAGGTGGTGAGGTGAGGAAAGCATGACTAGTCTCCAGAATACAGGACCATGGTGCCAAATTAGATTTTACAACTCTTCCTTGGTGTGGAAGCTGCAAGAGATCTGTATGTGTAAAACAGCAGCAAATCAGTATCTTCATATGGTGTTAGATTTACTCTGCAAATGAGCAAGAGGTTGCTCTCCTTAAATCTTAAGTTAATTCCTTCTGTCTGGTTAAGCAGATGGCATTCTGAATTAGATCCATCTACTACTTATTGTAGGCCCTAGATGCCTTGCTGATCACTGCTGGACTAATTACTCTAGTTTTGGAGGAAGATGGCACAGTTGTGGATACTGAAGAGTTCTTTCAGTCCTTGGGAGATAATACACACTTCGTGCTTCTAGAAAAAGGACAGAAGTGGACACAAGTAAGTGTTAACATCTCTTTTGTATCTTTTGGGGATCACCTTTGGCTTAAGGAGAATTGTGGCTGCTGGAAATGGGGCAAGGGGAAGAATGGGAGAAAAAACTACCTTCAAAGAAGGCTGGGTATCCCTGCTTTCTATGCTAAAAATGCAAAGTCTTACTAGAGGGCTAGAAATAAGGAGTTCTTCTGGCTGTCAGCTGAACAGACTGAAAACCTGGCATAAATCGGAATTAAACATGTAACAGGCATCTCCAAGGTAAAAAAAAAAAATCCATTTTTGCTCATGTCTGTCTACTATACTACAATGTAGAAGTGTGACTTTTTCTCTAGTCAAAGGGAACTAAACACATTTTTGGCATCAAACAAGCGAAACCGACTTTAGGGGAAAAGGCTAAAAAAGCATGATGGGTCACATTAAAGCAAAAACCAATGTGTGATTACAGCATAATCTAAAATGGAGGTGTGAAACTTAATATTCTGAGCATGTTAAATACTCTGTAGAAGTTACTAACTTTACAAAATTCTGCATTATTCCACTTACAGAATATCAGAGTGGCTAAAGCTTGCCATGAAACTAGATGAACAATTCTAGATTTTTTTTTTTTTTTTGTGGCATAAAAATACTTCACGATGAATGACTTGATTTACCTAATACTACTTCTCTTGTGACTAAAGGCTCCCAATTTTCTGACCATGAGAATAGTCCTAATGCAATTATGGCTCTTCTGTTAAATAAGAACTCCTCCCTAGAAAAACAAATTGCTTGTGCTTGTCAGACAAAGGCTAGCTGTAACATTTGTCTCCTTAGAATGTTCATGGATGACAAGCCTTAAATTTGTAACCTCTCAAACTAGAACCTAGGTTGTAGGCTCCTGTGTATTAACCATGATTGCCTCAATAGGCCTGTGTTGCAGGAACAGCTCCTAAGGAGCAGAACTGCAGGTATTGGGCAGTAGTCTCCAGTGACCAGGCTGCCTTCACAACCCATGTCCTGATTCTTTAACAACTAGGAACATCACACAGGCCATTTCAAAATTTACTTTTGGCTATTCGGACTTATCTATCTAGAGCTCACCATCCCCTTCATGTTAGCCAGGCAGATTTAACTTTATTTTTTCAAACTTCTGACACTCTCCTTTGAAGAGAAAGTGGGACTTGCTGTTTTTGTCCCTTTGGTTTTAAACTTAGTCTCTGGCAGATGGCCCTTTCTCAACTAACAGCCCAGAAATAATGTTCATATTGGTTCTAGAAGTGTTCTCTTCCAAAGAATCCTGTCTGCAGTTATTGTGGTGGGAGCTAAGCAGGAACCACCACTAGATCAGCCTCCCCAGACATGGTTCATAGTAGGAATGTTAGATAGTGTGGGTGGGGACAGCAGCCAGTGCACTCTGGCCCCAATCTAATAGAGGCAGCAGCAGACCCTGTCCATGGGGGTCCAAGTTCCCCAGACAGAGGCTGCCTCGAAGCAGCCAGGAAGAGCCCAGTGGCCAGGCTGGCCTCAGACAGAGGATGGCCCAGCAGCAGAGCAGTGGAATGCAGAGCAGCTTCTGTTCATGGGGGAGTTTTTTTTGGGGGGGGGGGCATAGACGGGCTACTTTGAAGCAACCTTCTCTGCTCTCTCCCACGATGCTGCCTTTGACAGAGGAAGCAGTGTGGAAGGAGCAGGTGGCACTGGAGCCAATGCTGGGGGGAACTGGCTTTTAAGCTAGCCCCCCCAGCTCCTGCTCGTCCACCCCCAGCTGCCTCTGATAGAGGCGGCAGGAGGTGGGAAATGTGAGTAGTGGACTAGATTAACAAATAAGCCTAGGCTTAGCTGTTAACCATCTAGTTAACTACTAATTGACATCCCTAGTCCATAGTCAAACTACCCTTATGAAAACTGAACAATTGCATCTATAAATTAGAGAAGCCCCATATTTCTAGGAAAGAAGCTTATGAATTAGAGTACAGAGGAGAGCAATAAAAATAATCTTAAAAAAAAAAACCTGACCTATAAGGAAAAGCTAAAACCTGGGCAAATATAGTCCTGGAAAAACCCCAAGGAGAAACCAGATTAGCTGCTGAATACATTAAGGGCTGTTTATAAAGAGAATGGGGGAGCGGGGAAGCAGAATCAACTTTTCTATGCCTATTGAAGGTAGGACAAGAAGTTCTGAACTTAATCTAAAGCAAAGGAATTGTACATTGGTTGGTTAAAAGGGGTTTTCTAACGTTTAACCATAATTAAGCTCTGGAAAAAACTTCCAAAGGAGGTTGTAGAACCCTCCTCATCGAAGGTTTTTAACAAGGTTGGATGAGCCTGTCAGGAATGGTTTGGTTTACTTGGTTCTGTCTCCAGCATAGTGGGCTGGACTTCAGTTTGAGGTAATTTCTAGCTCTGTATTTCTGATTCTGACTCCAGTGATCTATATACAGGCGACCCCGGACTTATGATTCCCCCACATTTACGACCGTCTTGCTCCAGCTGCTACTTCCCCCAGCACAGCCCCCAGCTAGCTGACTCGGGGAGCAGCTCGTGCTGCAGAACATGACTCCCAGAAGGCAAAGCTGGCCAGGAACGGAAACCCCATTTTTATCATTGCTCCTATGGGGGGGAAGAAGGGGTTCAACTTACAACCTAATTGGTTCCTGGAGAACCGTTATAAGTGCAGGAGTTGCCTGTATATAATTGCAAAATGAGGAACATGGCTGTCATACTTCATCTGCCAGTATTGAACTTAAAAGGCTATTAAAAATAGCATGAATTAGCTAACAAGCATGCTGTCAGAATACTTCTAAAACATAGTTCTGAATGTTTAAAATTTCTCCTGTGAAAGGGAGACAAACTCTAAGCATTTACTATGGTCAATCAAAGCAAAAAGAAAAGATGAGCAGTCAAACATAAACATTAGTGAGGTCAAATTGTCCTGGTAACTTGTATTTTAGCCTTTCTTGTGCATTGTTTACTAGATAAAATTGCAAAGCTGCTCAAGGCAGTCTTTTTGTTTAAAAATAGTGATAAGTGTTATACAAAGCATTCCATAAGGACATTGTTAAATTTCTCCTTTAAAATACAGGATCTATCCACTAGGTGTCTCCCTAGAACATGGGACTGCTGCACATGGGACTGCTGCACACACTTCTCCCTGACAAGCAGCTTTTCATAATAATGTAGACTATGAATGTAAAATCAAGTTTAATGTTAACTGGTTAATTTAACCAGTTAACATTAAACAGGGATCCTGAATGTGGGTGGCTGCTCCAGCCTGGCTGCTATCTTTCCTCCCTTTCTTCCCCCTAGGATTGCCAGGTGTCCAGTTTTGACCTGGACAGTCCAGTATTTTCTGAATATTTTTACCAGACACATGAAATGTCTGGTATTTTCTGGGTTTTTTTCATGGCCAGGAGGTAAAATATACTGGACACCTGGCAACCCTACACACTTGGCAACTGGGCCCAGCCCCCCACCCTCCTCCCTCAGGTACTGGCCCCCCTGCTTACCTGGTTTCACAGGGAAGCTCCCTTCTTGCTGCTTGACCAAAAAACCAAGATGACTGCTGGCAAAAAACCTCAAGACCAGAGCAAGGGGAAGCAGTGCCTTCCCTGGATCTTAGTGTTCAACCTTCCCTCTTTCTATCCCTGGCCTATTCTGAGTCTGCATGCAATTAAAGGGGCCATATTGTTTTAATGCTGGTTTTTGTTTTGTTTGTTTGTTGCTTAACTCTTGGAGTCCTTTTTTTGGTTCTCCTCCCCTATTTCCCCCCAACAGAATTTTTTCTCCTTTTTGGGGGGGAGAGGGTGTTCAGTATTTTTGTTGAAACAATCTGGCAACCCTACTCCCTTTCCCTCCCCTCCCCCCAGCTGGCTGGCCCTGTGCCCTTACAGTCTTACTCCAGTCAGACCCCCATGGCAGCTACAGGCAGGGGGGCTACTTCCAGGTGCTGGTTAACTGGTTACCATAAGCATCACCATTCTCATCCCTGGTATAGACCTCCTCTGAGGATCTCAGAATTTAACAGTTGAAGGGAGCTTGCTTCTGAACCACTATTCCCATTTCCCTTTTTAAAACTTACTTAAATACAACTTAGTGCTGTTCTGTGTCTAAATACCATCATGCTGGTTTCTTCTAGTGGCTTATTATAGGGTGAGTGGGAGACTTTAAATCTTAGTAACAAGGATTGGGTCCACAAATCAACAACTAGCCTATTCCAAGGCCCAGGCACCATGCAGCTGGGCCAAATTTTGGACAGCTTGACTCCTGGCTACTTTAAAATATTACTAGTCTGTTTGCTGGAGCAGGCCACTTAAAGCAATCTCTCTATAGCTGGTGGTTTATGCCAAAACTGGTGGTGGTGTGCCAATACAGCTGGCTTGCTAGTAACTTGAACATGTCACTAGTGTCGTAATCCTGCTGGAACTTGGCCCTGGTAACTTAAGGATTCTTGGATCAACTTGGGGCAAGAGTCTGACTACAAAGAAAAGCAATATTTCACATACACAAATTACATCTTGAAAGGAGTATCCATTAATATGTAAATGATTTACAATCCTCTGTTAGGCCTTAAATTAAGTCACTATGAAAGCTGTAACTTGTGGCAAATACCTTGTAACAACTACTTGGATTCATGTACCACAACAATAATGTTGCTTAGAATAGCAGTATTATCTAGTATCACTGAGTGTATTCTCTATGCCATCCACTGATTATAATATCAAACTAAATGTCTCTTCAAATTAGGGAGAAAACTATATCACCTCTGTACGGCAGACTAAGAAAATGGGGGTAGCTAACATTACCCTGGACTTGTACAAGCTGAATCCAAAGGACTTTATTGGCTGCCTAAACATTAAAGCTACTTTCTATGAAATCTACTCTGTGTCCTATGACATCAAATGTATGGGAGCAAAAACTGTGCTGCGGTAAGTATGCATTCTGATTAGTTCGTTGAACTACAGTAGATGTAGACCGAAATAAGTCTCAAAGGAGCACAAACATTAGATGAGCCAACAATGAAGATACTACCTGGTTACACATGTCAGCAGTAGAAGCAAAGACATGCTTATACAATTCCTGCCTAACATAGCACACGGCAATAGAATTCTTTCCTTTTTTTACCATGTGACTCTTGATATCAGGGTGGCCCGTCCATATAGGCGAACTAGGCGGTCGCCTAGGGCGCCAAGTTAAATGGGGCACCAAATGGTGGCACGATATCATTGAGGGGTATGGAGGTGGGGGCACCGATTGCATGGTTTGTGTAGGGTGCGAGTTGCTGGCAGGTAGTCTAGGGCCACCCTTGCTTGATACTGTTAAAGCTAAGACTATAGTAGAAATTAAGAAAACCTTACTAGAAGAGTAAGAACTTCTAGTTATTGAATGCATATAGTAAACAGTAGACAGCACATGGACTATCATGTAATTAACATGCTGAAAAGGGTGCCAAGTTCCCTTAGTTGAAATCAAAACTACTTCAGTGCAGTACACTGAAGGAATGAATAACCTCCAGGCTCTTCCCATGTTCTGTATAATAGGATCAGTCTCTTTCTGAAAGGGAGGTAGACAATAGAGGAATGGGGGTAATGTGCACTTCCCCTCCCCCGATGAATTTTGCATATCTGAATAAGACTGTGGGATGTCTTGATTCCCACGTGAAATGCATCTTCCTGATACACTCAACCCAATGGCTCTGTATCCCCTCAAATACTGGAATGCAGAAACTGCAACAGCATGCATTGACACTTCCTGGTTGCAGATAAGCTTTTAGTCTATGCTAGTTTTAGGCTATCTCCTAACGTTTGGTTTCTTCTTCTTGGATTTAAATGAGGATAGAGCATAACTGGAGCAAACCTTTGCCAAGCACTGATTTCAGCAGAATTGGATGGGTAAAACAGTGCAGAACCTTGTTTAACAACTAAACACTGCCTCCTTGTGACAAATGGGGACTAATTCCATATGTCAGTCTTTAAAGCCCATTAACAGTTGTAGGTTTGGGCTCTAATAGTGGAAGTTGCATTATATAAAGGGACTTTTAAACAACAGTTCCTCCAGACTTTCGCTGAAGCTCCTGGGAAGCTGACACAGGAAGTGCAAAAAAGCATCAAGAAAACAGCTGAGGTATAGTACTGGAAGTCCCACTACAAGCATAGCTATACTATAAAAAGGCAGTTCTAAGACCAAGACAAGCAAATTCTTCTCCAGAGCTCATTGAAGGAAGTGAAGTCTATCCCAAATGAAGGCAAACTCTGCACTGGATTCTCAAGACAGTCCTTTAAAATGTGTTCTGCTAATTCTGAAGTCTTGTACTCTTCCCTCCCAGTTACTTGGAGAGTTCAAACATTCACTTGGCAGACAAGGAGCCCCCCACATGCTGTCAAACTTGATGAAATTTCTGTTTCTTATTGTCATATTGAAGAAAATCAAATGCCCAGACTAATCTCTCAATCGCTAAATATGCCACTTGTACCCATGGCCAGTTGTCACACATACTGCAGCTGTTGTAAGACTCAGCTGCATGGAGGCCTAAGAAGGCTGCAGCTGGTTCCATAGTCACTTGGCCACTTTGAGAAGAACAAACTGTAGCATGTCAAGCAGGTGCCTTTATATATAACGAAAGAATTGTTTAAAGCACTGCCAAGTTCCTGAGATCTTTATTCTACTCTTGCACAGTGAATTGCTGACTGCAAAATCTAAACTGTTTTTCTGTTGAGAGAACAGGTTTAGAGAAGTCTTTTATGTTTACAAATCTAACTCAGTTCCTGGTCTGATGGCCTAGTTTTTCTCATTCTTAGAAAATTCCACTCTCCTTTAATCAGTGGCTGGAAGCTGATGCACAATACCAACAGCGTCATAAACACCCAATGTGTTCAGCTTTATCCTCTATATACCCCTGGAATTCATGGGTCTCGATTATATCTTAATGCTCACATTTCCTTAATTTTATGGGTCTGTATTTAAACTTCTGGCAGGCACCAAGATCAGTATTTCAAGCTGCTAATTAATTCTGGAGTGTAAGCAGCAATACTCCGAATTGAGGACAAATTTAAAACTCTTAGCTCCAGTTCAGTGTAGCCAAACAATCCAGTGTGATTGCTCCAGTGTAACATCTGGCCAGTATTTTCATAGACATGTCAGTGGTTCTGTAGCTGGCACTCCTCCTTACTTCCCACCTTGTTATATATTAATATGTGAGACAAATGCTGCAGGGCTCAGATTGACTTCCTGCTTACCTCTGTTACTAATGGAAACATGGCAATCCCAGTAAGGTATCTGTAGCATTCTGCTAAAACTATTAACTGCTTGGTCTGCATAACCAAAGTTTCTCTTGCAGGGCCTATCTCTGCTATGCAAACAGCTTCCTCCTCAGTTAGAGGTGCTTATATAAAGTGGCTGTAGAATCAGGCCTTCCTGTAGTGCTGTTTTACATTGCGAAACAATGGCTAGAAGTGCATAGAATGAAGAGTCTTAAACATGACTCATCTTAGAAGAACCTGTCTTTAAACAAGATGCAGCTGTCTAAGACTTCTTTTTTTAGAAATGACTTTGTTCAATTTTTCCTCTTCTAGGAGAGTGCTTCGGTTAATGTCCCATATGGCACAAATAACTGGACAGTTTCTTCTCTACACTGGATCTTATGTGTTGCAACTGATGGGTGAATATGAGGAAGATGGCATGTGTACAAACTGAAGGCAGTAGTTACTAGCATTCTCACTTCTGATGTCGGTGGCACCTTTTCACTCCACACGTTCTCCTGTCCACTTATAAAGATGGCATGTCTTGTGGTTTCATGATCTTAAATTATAAAGTAGATGAGTGTCCATTAAAGTGAACCTAACATGAACTTAATCTTTGTCCTTTGGCATACTTGCAGAGCTTTTCATTGTAAGACAATGATGAAACAATTGTAAATGATCGGAGTCTTCTTTTATGCAGTGAATGAAAAGAGGCCTAATGCCTAGAAATTAGACAGATGTTCCCCCTACACAGATATCCAAAATGAAGATAAGGTATACATGGAAGCAGGGACTTTTTAAAGTACTAATTTCTCCTACATGGATCAGAAGGTAACCAACCATGTTGCACCCTTCTGAATGGATTCTGTAACTTTTAAGTTTGTCCTCAGTACTGTTCATATTAGTGTTCATAACCTTGGTACTCAAATTCCCAGTCAACTTGTATGTTTTCTCTATCTGTAAATAAATAACTTGTGTTTTAGTATCATTGGATCTGGTGTCAAACTCTTTAATTAATCTGACAGTGGAAATAGTTGCCCTTATGTTAAGGCTGGCATACAGGCTGGCATACAGTTGTTACATGACAATACTAATGTGTATAACCATTGTCCTGTATAATTTCAGTATGTTTACCAAAGTAAATACAGCCTTCCATGCTGATGCACTGCTAACTGTGCTGCTTTAACTGGCATTTGGAAGCCACTACAAACGGATCTCAATGTAAATCTACACTTGCTTAACTTGCATTTCTCAATTCAGTATTGACAATTTCCAGCCTTGCATTGAATAAACTGGCTTAATCTCTCATGGCTACAGTGCTTTCAAGCTCATTTCTCTAAATCAATGAGATTGAGTATCCTTAGAAATACTTAAAGGTCAAATACCTTATCTTAATATCAATCAGAATTGTCCACAATAGACTGCTCTTAATCTTTACTAGATTAAGTAGTTTTGCTCACTGTTTGGTGCCCTATTAAAAAAAAAAAATTGATAAGTGCACCATTTCAGTACACTATCAAGCAAAAAGACAATGCAAACAAATTGTATCTATAGAAAATATAACATGGCCTAGTAAATTCTGGAGGCAGCGTAAGGCACCTTACCAGTTCCAACAGAACATAAACTACCTAAACTAAAAGGGAAACCCAAGTTTAAAATTTAGTAAGTATAAACTAGATAAATCCATGCACATCCTCCGGTATCCTCAACATCACATGTTTTTTGTCTTAATGTTTATAAAGTACTTTGAATAGCATCACAGTTGAAAATTTCAAGTGTAAATTTTTTCAAAAAAATTTACAAGTCATTCTGTTAGTGGAATAGGTGGTCGGTCTTTTTTATTATTGGCAACAGAAATATACATGTGGTGGGTCCTTTGGGGTTGCCACCCAGTTTAGTTTAACTGTTTCTGACTCCTCTCATTAGTCTAGGTAGTCATCAATCACTTATTTGATAAGACAAAAAACAGGCCTAACGAGATGGCTTATTAGGTGATGAGCTTTCCGTGGGCCAGACCCACTTCCTCAGATGGAAGTGGGTCTGGCCCGCAAAAGCTCATCACCTAATAAACCATCTTGTTAGTCTTTAAAGTGCTACATAGTCCTGTTTTTTTGTTTCAGCTACACCAGACTAACATGGCTACATTTCTATCATTATTTGAGAAGAATTTTTATGTCTATAGGGAAGTAAAGCAGCTTACACTGCAGGAACAAGCATTTGATTTGCAAGTTCTTTATTTACCAATTTGTGAGGTTTTAAAAAAATACTTCTCTCTCCTCCACCCCAAATTTCTAATGTTTACAACTAAATAAGAATACAGAGGCATGACTGTCTGGTGAGTGAATGAAAGGGACTATAGACTGGCTATTTTACTGGGCAAGTACAAAGCCTGTAGCAATACTTACTGCATTATATTTTGATCAGAAAAATGACTATGGAAATGGCACTGTAGGTTTCCACATCAGACTTTTGTATTAAATGTGCTTACTTTAGAGAGCTGAGTTTTCTGACTGCCAGCCCTGCTGACTGAGGGCTTGATTACACAGACATTATGTGGACATTCAGAACAGAGGTTTCACATGAGGGACTATTCCAAAATAGTTATTGCGGAATAGTTTATTCCAAAATGGCTATTGTGGTCATGTTCTCATGTAGACAAGCCTTTAGCTTGGGAGCCAAGAGTCAAGCTTACTTTAAGAAGCCTAAATGTAAAAATTCTACAAGCCTAATTATGGCCAGGGTGGAAACCCATGTAATCCTTCTGTCTTTGAGTTTTCACATGTGTAACAACGGAGTGAGTGGAAATTTCTTGTGTATTAACATAATTGTTTAGTAGTGAACTCACTGAAGTTAGTAGCTCTGCCTAAATTCAGAGGAAGCAAATCTGAGTAACAGCTTCCTTCCAGTCTGTATAGTCACTATTCAGGGCAGATCTGTACTTTAAACTTCACCTTTCTGATAACTTAATTTTTTTAGCAGTTCTCATCCTGTTATGGTCTATTTCTTCCCCCACCTCCAGCCCCTTCTCTTCTCCCTTTACACTTTTTTCCCCCTCAACTGGTTACACAACTTTGCCATCTTGATCAGGAAATTATTCAGATAAATCTCTCTACTTCCTAGCTGGTCTCATTCCCTGTAGCAGCTGTCTCACTTCTCCACCTAGAAGCCTTACCGTTTGACAATTTACATGATCAAAACTGAATCCCTGCTCTTTTCTCTGAAATCCTCTCCACTTCTCCCATTTTGTTATTGCTAACAGGATCAATCTCTGTTAATCAGCTCCTTAGCTTGGGCATCATCTCTGAACCTTCATGCCCAACACATTGAAACTATTTACATCTTGATCCTCCTTCCCACTGTGTTTACATCTTGATCCTTCTTCCCTAAGCTCTAAATTCTATTCCATTTCTCCATCCAGCTAAATCTCTTGCCTGTGCCTTTCTGCTCAGCTTGATCACCGCTCTTTTTGCCTCTGATGCTGATCTCACATTTGCTCCACTCAACACAAAATGGATACCTTTAATGTCCATCACTCTACTGACATCCTGCTATTCAATCATTTTGCTTGCTCCCCTGTTCAAGTCCAAGTTCAAACTCCTTGGCCCAACTTTCAAAGTTCTTCACTCCTTAGCCTTCCCTATCTACCCATTCTTGTCTCCTATTGCTTCAGTCCCTCCCCACTTTCTCTACAAGGAAGGCAGCCTCAACTTCTTGCTTGTGCTTGCCCCTCATCCCCCCCAACCTAACACTTTGTGCTTTCATATGATCTATACAGAGAAGGCAATCCTTGAACTTGATCTGTAAGGCGGCTACTTCAAATAAATTCTTAAGATGCACCCTGGCCAAATTCCTACAAAAAAAATTCCAAAGTTTAGTAGCTCAGATGAGCACCTGCTGGTGCGAACCTAATTTTTTTATGAATGAGTAGTCCTGTGGCACCTTAGCCTGTGGCACCTTAGCCTAACAAATATTAGTTTCTAATGTGCCACAGGATTACTTGTGTTTAAAGATACAGACTAACTACTATCTCTTTTGAATGCTACTTAGGCCACATACAGTAAAGCAGGAATTGATTTTGAGATCAATCCACTGGCAGTCAATTTAGTGGCTCTAGTGAAGATCTGCCAAATTGACTACAGAGTGCTCTGTAGTCAACCCCTGTAATCTACCACCAATGAGAGAAATCAGGTAAATTGAAGGGAGAGTTTCTTCTGTCAAACCTGCAGGGTGTAGACCCTGATATAAATCTACCTAATGTACACTGCCTCCAGCTACATGATTCACATAGCTGGCATTGCATACCTTTAGGTTGACTTTCTGCACTAATGCAGACACCGACTTAGACGAAAGTGTGTTGGGGCAGTAAAACTATATCTGTACTTAAACTGTGCTTCCCACAATAATTTCAGCATCCTCTGTGGGGCTCTTTGCAGTACTGTACTATACCTAACAAGAAAAGTTACACTGTAGTGACAACATATTGTGAAAGTAATCCACTGTACATCATTTGTTTCAATTCTATGGTAGTCTTTTCCAACTCTGAGCTAAGTCTCTTTGAGGGAAGTTTGCAAAGAGATTACAAATAACACTTGCTCCTCCTCACAGCTGCTCTCAAAGCAATGCATTTTGTTGTGAGACAGCATATAATGTAATCCTGTATTCTCCAGCATTCTGGGTACATTGTTTAACAAATGGACTGTGAAATGGATTATTCAGTGTGGGTGGGCAGCTGGATGAACCCTGGACATGGGCTATACTGACCTCTTACATTCTTAGCATTAATAAGCCTTTAATCATCAATATGGCAATAATGCTGGTAGGCTGCAGTCTTATGCAGCAGTACAGAGACTCGGCTTCAATGCTTAATGAAACTGTAAAAAGAAATTGCCTGCCTTGGTGAGTTGTTTCTCCCTCCCCCCACCTCTGATTTGTGACTAAAAACTTTCAGTGTGTACTACTCAAAACTCTTCAGCTGTTTTCATGTCATCAATATGAGTCTGCATTCCTCCAATAGGCAATACCACCATGCCTTTGCACTTCAGACTGGCATTTTAAAAATAGTTTGGGGGGCTGTTGAATGGCAGCTTCTGCTACACTGTGCTAAACCTAGATGGGATTGTGGGGAATGATGCTGTGTTCTCTCTGAATGTAATCTGAGAGAATCATTTGTCAAGGAGCCTGGAGGTGGAATGTGGAGTTGGTTTGGGCATGTGAGACAGATGAATGGGAGCTGTTTAGTGAGTGGATGAAAAGGGAAGGGTAAAGGATCAGAGGAAATTATCACTGGGTGAGAACGACACACAAACTGTGGCCCATTTGTAAAGCCTGATGAATCTGGTCAAAGCAAAGGTGTAATTGATCTTACTTTCCGAGCTCCTCATGAAGGATCCAGTCCTCAGGCTGAGTGAGATGAATCACTGCTCTTGACTGGCAGTTTAGAAACGACTCAAATTCTCTGCCATAGAGCATTATTGCTTGCACTTTTATCACAGCTGTGATTGCCACTGTTAAAATACTGAAAAAATAGTACAGGCAGTCCCCGGGTTACGTACAAGATAGGGACTGTAGGTTTGTTCTTAAGTTGAATTTGTATAAGTCGGAACTGGTACATATTGTAGGGGAAACTCTAGCCAAACATTTCTCCAGAGCTCAGTTTTATTCTCCCACACCTCACTTCCCTCAGTCCTTTATTCTCAAGCTGAGGTGTCTGCTGAGAAAAGCCGCTCCGCGTCTCCCTGGTCTTCTCGGGGGGAGGGGAGCGCTAGCTTCGCATCTCCCTGGTCTGCTGGGGGGAAGCAGCTAGTGCAGGATTGCCTCACCCTGTTTGTAAGTAGGGATCCTATGTAAATACTGAAGAGCCTATGCTGGTGCTCCAACTCCCACAACTTCCCCATGGGGCTATAGCACATAAATCAATTAGTCTGGGTCCATGTGTGAAAGGAATGTGGGGAGTGTCTTTTACCTTCTCAGTGAATTTTAAATATTTGTATGTATGTACTTATTTGAGAAATCCATGGATAACACTAACAGTCATAAACTTAAAAAAACAACAAATGGTCTGGTAGCACTTTAAAGACTAACAACATGTAGATGGTATCACGAGCTCTCATGGGCACAGCCCACATCTTCAGATAACCGGAATTTTGTTAGCAGCTCTTTTTGCAACATTAACTTCTCATTAGCCTATGCAAACTCCTCCTAATATATAGGAGCGTTCCTAGCAATATTATTACACTGAACACAAATACATTCCCAGAAAAGCAGGAAACGGCTTAACAATTAAGTCTCATGACCA